TGTTTCACCATGTGACCATCTGAGTTGCCTCTAAATGGTAAGATAATGTAAAATCTGTTTTTGGGTGCCAGAAGCGTCATAGATCTAATCATATTGCAAACCTTCTAGCGGTTTATGAACTTCAATGAATAACCATTATTCATTAACGTTTCAGTGCAGAGCTTCGTCTCTACGTCAGTAGTATCTCTAGCACAAATATGATTGATTCTATTGAATACGCCCTTTAATAATAAGGAATTGCTTGACTCCAAAATAAATCAAAAATAATTTATGAATATATCACATTTTACATCGTTCATTTTCAATTAGGTTAATAGTTAGATCTGTATGAATTTGAACTGAATTATTATTAACAGTAACAATTCAATAGCTTGCTGATGTAAACACATATTCGTACAATTAATCAATTATAATTGAATTCATGAATCAATTAGACTACCATGGAAAACCTGGAAGCACTGGACGTTCGTTTCATCCTAGTTTGGGACTCTACAGCAGTGAGCAACCACGATCCCGCATCGCAAGATTCGAACACAGGACCTATCAGTCTCACGCGTGAACGCTTGTCCTCTAAACTGTTGAGCCGGCATCCAATGGTGTTAATGTCTAGCTTCAACTAATACATGGGATTGAGCGACACATCCAACATTGTCATCAGTGAGTTACTATCTCACAACAAACTTGGTTGAACTCCATTGTTCACCGCTTCTCTTAGGAATTCCAGGAAATACGTCATTGTGTATGTTATTTTACTTTATCATGTATGATGCACTTCTTGAATCTTGATGACCTTTCAGTAGAATCCATTTATTATCAAAGACATAATGTGATTGGAATAAAATTAGTCACATAGCTACTGATTAATTCAATGAGTTACTAAATTCATATATCATGCATGATATTCTCCAAATAATTCTATACCCTGATTTTTGTTTATCGCTTTTTTGCTAAATATTTATCTCTCCATTTCTTTTTCACTACTACTGATAGTGTTGTTTTGACTATTTTCAGCTTTTCAAGTCATTGGAATACTTTTACTACGATAATGTAAATATCAGAAGGGAGTTTTGTGGATATTATTACTAATTTTAATAGTTGTGATCATGAGTTCATGGAAACCCATAGAAAACCTGAAAGCACTGGACGGCCATTTCGTATTATTTTAAGACTCCTCGCGCACGAGACCAGTAGGTCCTGTGTTCAAATCTCGTGACGTGGGATCGTGGATATGCACTTCTGAAGAGTCTCACAGTAGGACTAAACGGTTGTTCAGCGCTTCCAGGTTTTTTCATGATGATCTAGCTTGAATTGACTTATGATCTCAACTATTAAAATAATATAAGTAGTTGAATTTAGAGCAGATAAACATCAATTGTAAGTATTACATGATGAATTGCTTGATAAATATTGACTTAAAATTGTTTTATAGCCATAGATTCTTAGTTTTTCTTTAGAATGTTTCTTCTATGAGCAGAATAGTTTAACCATGAAGTTCTCATTGTCTTTCTTGACAAGGTTATCAGTTTTGTAATCGAAGAAAGAAAACAAGCGAACAAACATACAATGATAATCCACCTAGTCAAATATAATATTATTAAATCTAGTTAAACGTTTATCAATTTTCAGTCATTCTATTAAATTTCCTACTATGGTATGAATATCTGATAGCTTATACTTAAAACAAAACAGAAGATAAATTGTTTAACTTTTGAACAACAGAACACAGTCAAACTGGATCAAATAATTATTAAGTATAAACAAATCTAAGCCTATTTGTTTTTGTCATAACGAGTTGTTTGACGTGATTTGTTTATTCTTATTGAAATACATTATTTTTTTCTAAACAACAGAAGATCAATTTATCTACTTTTTTATTGAGATCATGAACCAATTGATGTTAGATAACCGTTGGAAACCTGGAAGCACTGGACGGCCATTTCGTGCTATTGTGGGACCCCTCAGCAGTGCGCATCCACGATCCCGCTCGCGGGATTCAAACCCAGGGCCTTCAGTCTCACACGCGAACCCTTAACCTACTGGACTACTGAGCCGTCATCCAATGGTGATAGTGTCTAACATCAACGAATCCACGAAATTGTGCGACCATCTTCCATTGTACTGAGGTAGACACTTGTTTCTACCCGACACGGATTAGCTCCACTTTTCACGGCTTCTCAACAGAACTCTGAGAATTTTCTCACGAAGCTAGTCACTAGTGAGCACATGGTAATTATCAGTTTAGGGGTTGTGGAGATCATGAACCGACTGATGTTAGACCACCATTGAAAACCTGGAAGTACTGGACGGCCGTTTATAGACTATAATAAATCGATTATTTATATCAATATAAACAGTTTGATCATATTTTTAATAGGGGACTGTCGATATTGTTACATTTTATTGAAATCATGAATCGATATAAAAGTTAGATCATCATTAAAATCCTGAAAGCACTTGGTGGCCGTTTAGTCGTTGTATAGGGCTCCTCAGCAGTGAATATATACTATCAGTGATGTGGGACTCGAACCTGAGACCTTCGGCCTCATGCGATCGCTTAACCTCTAGACTAGTGAGACGCTACTCAGTGGTTTTAATGTTCGTAGGACGTTCGGACTGCAGTGTTGTTGTAATTGTGAATTGCTATGAAAGAGTAATTGAAATTTGGTAGGATTGTAATAAGACACGTATCATCCGGCTTCGCAGTCTGAAAGGTCATTATCAAGTCAGTCGAGACACAATTGACTTCCAGTAGGACTAATGTCATGTTCATTTAGACCATAGTACTGTTCAGATCTTATAGACCAATTTATAAGGGGGTCACCAGTTTAAATGATGTGACATTACATTCATTTACCTTTTTGTTATTGACTCATTCGGGGTGGAGTGAAGTAACGCTTAAAAGATTACCACATCAGGTTCTATTCAAATAATCACTGATGCAATCCGTTTTTTAAGTACCTTAATTAAGAAAGCTAAGTAATGTCACTAGAACTTATACAAAACACTTGACTTAGAACTGAGTAAACTGTCTTTCTAAAGGTCACTGGATTAAGACAAAATGATAGTAACTTATTCATCTAGATTTCTTTGTTAATTAATGGATTCTAGCACCACATGCAGTAATCCTAAACTCTTTTATCAATTGCAAAAGAGGACGGTTTCAATAATAGTCACAATGAAAAAATGTTTCAGTTATAAACCTCACATTATGTAGGTCCTTACATTAAAAAACAGAATTTTCTGATATCGAATTAAACGGGTATTCAGCCTAGACAAATAAATCATCTCCCAGAGTTTACTTGGGACATAACGTATATGTTTGAGGTAATACATATTATTAAAGTTAAGGTACATTTCAGCGTTGCATATTTATCCCACTTAAAATACATGTTAACTAATCTGTGGATTCAGATTCCGCCAAGCAGTTGTTATATAATAAAATCCTTCCAATCACTTCATATAAGCTGTAAAATTATACTAGGCTGCCAAACTTCAATGATACTAAAATTGTCCGAATACAGTTTTCATAATACTTTTTCAATTATTCCACAACTGGTTATCGAGATCAAACAAAACTTTAGGAAAGATAGAAAGAATACGTTTTACGAAATGAATCTGCAGATAAAGTAGTAGGCGCTTCATGGAAAGTTGCCTTTACACCATAATATAACAATGTGTGGTATAACAAATTTTCTTTTATTATTATTAAGCTGTTTAACAACTATCAACTGAAAAGTGATTTCTAAACTAAAAACAACACCAAATGAATTAACTGAAACAATTTTTAAATTTAAGACGAAAAGTTTAAATGTATTCATTTTGTCTTCATTAGCTGGAATATATCACCTTTTATTATCAAACTGTGCAATCGTATATATATGGTTAAGCACTCGCTCACGAGACTGATAAGTCTGGGTTTCACTCTTGGGGGCGGGGTTATGGATATGCATAGATGAGCAGTCCCATAATAGGACGAAATGGTCGTCCAGTTCTTCCAGTTTCTCCATGGTGGTCTAGTTTCAATTGACTTGTGATCTTAACTGTTGGAATTTTCTTTGTTAAAGTATTAATTCCGTGAGGAAATGTGGACACAAATAGTCAAGATGAAGTAATAGAAAGATTATAATACTAGATTACGTGATACGAATAATAACAATAGATTCAGTGAATGTAATAAGATGATTAAAATGTTTTTGTTACAATAATTAAAGGTCATTATAGGTCATAGATGTGTGAAAATAAGTCAAGTGATATGATGAGCATTTGAATAAAATAATGAGAATATAAGACATAAGTAAAGGGGGATGAAGTAATAATGATAATATTAATTAAAACCAAGGTAACGATAACATTAGGACGTCCTTTTTACAAATAGTTCTAGTTTGAGCTCATGGATGGTAAGAGCATCGGCTAATTTTAGAAGTTGAATACGAAGAAGGCTAGGAAGATTTGACCGTGTAATATATTACTTACTTACGCCTGTTACTCCCAATGGAGCATAGGCCGCCGACCAACATTCTGCAACACACTCTGTCCTGGGCCTTCCATCCAATTCTTGTTCATTTTTCTCATGTCTATCTCCATTTCTCGGCGTAATGTGTTCTTTGGTCTTCCTCTTTTCCTTTGGCCTTGAGGATTCCATGTGAGGGCTTGTCTCATGACGCAGTTGAGTACTTTCCTCAATGTATGTCCTATACACTCCCGGCACTTCTCGATTTTTTCCTCCGAATCATATATACAACTTTAAAATCAAGCTGTGTATCCGTAGAATGCTTACAATCGATTAGATGTTCAAGTATAGGACTCGTAATTACTTTCCTCTCACTCTTATAGAACTAAACTGAGAAAAGAGACTCCTTTACTGAACTTTATATATTTTTTTATTTTTAATGTTTAAATAGGAATTATCATCTTGTCAATTCATCATCTTATTACATTATCAATACATCAGTATTTCAAAAAAAGACTTTTTTTTGTTGTCACTCATTTTCTTTTTCCAGTTACTGTCCATAATAATTCAAATTTCTAATGACGTCTAATCAGTTACTATCCAAAATAATATTATTCATATTTATATTATTAATGATTATTCAATTAACTAATTCAATTACAATCAATATCAATGATACCAATACTAATTATTCTATTGATAATTCAATCAATAATAATAAATCAATATCCGATCAAATGTTATTAGAAATTTATACAACATGGATTGATTTTGCTAAACATTTTGTTCCTACAGCATTATTTGTTGATCGTTATGTAACAATCATTTATTATATATTAGGTTTTCCTGGTAATTTTATTTCATTAATTATATGGTCTAATAAAAAAATGATCAAAGAAAATTCTGCTGCTGTTTATTTAGCTGCATTATCATTAAATGATATAATTGTATTAATATTTGCATTAAATAGAGATTTATCACGTGTATGGCAAATACGTGAATATTTATTACCTGGTTCATGTGAAATACAAAATATTTTATCACCAGCTGTACAATATGCATCACCATTATTTGTACTTGCTTTTACTATTGAACGTTGGTTAGCTATATGTAAACCATTTTATATTGATAGAATATGTAGTTCAAAAAGAGCAATTTATATATGTATCATAATTATCATTAGTACAATCATAGTTTGTTCTGGTTATGCATATATATTTATAACAGAAACAAATACATGTAGTAAACGACATATTAATCCATTAATTATAAGTGTATATTTATCATGTTTAGAAGGTGTATTTGCTGGTGTTGTACCATTATTAGTATTAATATTTAATTGTTTAGTCATTAAAGAATTAGCTAAAGTTCATCATGCTAATAAACAATTAGCTATTATGTCAAATCATTTATCATCATCATCATATTGTTCAACATCTCAATCGAATATAATAAATAATAAAAATTCACCAAAACCTTCATATACTACTACTACTACTACTATTACTCATAATAATAATAATAATCACCATGGGAATAAAATTAAATTATATTTTAAAAATATTTTCACTAAGCAACTATCATCAAATTCAATAAAATCAAATAAAAAAATTAATAAAACTTCATTAATATCAAATGAAAATTCATTAAATTTTATTCCACAATATAATTCAATCAATTCAATCAATCATAATAAATCAATAATCAATGAAAAATCAATAATTTCTAATCGTAATAATAATAATGAATTAATTCATATAAATTATAATGATTCATATAAAATTTCACATAATAAACGTACTAGTCCAAGTTTTAAATCAACAACATTAATGCTTTTAACAGTTAGTTTTTATACAATTTTAACAACATTACTTGGTGGTCTTGTTTATTTAATACATCAAACACAAGAAGAGCCTAATATGAATGCAACAGAAAAAGAAGTAAGTTATTGAATAATTCTCATTGATATTTTTATTATTTTGAAAAGAGAAAGAACAAAGATTCTAACAGAATAACATGAATCCAGTTTCATTTCATAGGTTGTTGCCTTGGTGACAAATACTATTTCTTTTTATTTAACCTCTTCCTCGCATGTATTACATTAGTGAGTTTTAATTCAACTATCTTCCATATTAATAATCTGATTTTATCGACTGAGCTCTACTCACTATATTCTTATCAATAATTATTCATTATGCGATTTCTTAGATTGGTTGAAGTTAGACATTAACATCGTTGAATGCCGGCTGGCTCAGTGGTGTAATGGATAAGTGCTGGCACGCGAGACTGATAGGTCCTGGGTTCGAATCTCACGATGCGGGATCGTGGATGCGCACTGTTGACCAGTCCCACAGTAGGGCAAAAGAGCCGTCTAGTGCATCCAGGTTTTCCATGATTGTCTAGCTTCAATTGACTCATGATTTCAACTATTGAAATTTCTGAAATCTCCACAAAACCCCGTTCTCATTATATAATCACTTGTTTCTAGCCGTTTGAACTGTTGTCACAATCAATGTTTTAGAATGGTTTTTCATAAAAGGTATATATTTACAATATTCAGTCTATTAATTTTATTTACATCCTTGTTATGCTATACGAATATGTCTTCAATATAATTTCCAACCAAACTCTTTCATGTAAGTAATTTAAATCATTATGTAATTATTATTTTAAATATTACAGGTTGTAAGCAGCTGACGAGAACCTACGAAATGAATAATTTTCGTTTTAGTTAATTTTAAGTTTTTGTTTTGTATAATCACTTATAAGAAACGATTGGTCAAAATGTTATTTCATCCTGTGGAAATGAATATATGTATAGTGTTTTTATAGCGAGTTAGTGTTCTACGGGATGGGGTCGTTAACCTCATGCCCAATCCTCCTGCTTTATCTGGGCTTAGGACCAGCAGTAGCCCCGGGCGGGCTCCAGGCGATGTTATATATATATATACATATTTATTAATTGGATTCATGGGTCAATTGAAGCTAGATAACCATGGACATTAGCCACAGTCAGAAAGAATGGGACTTCTTAGTGGTCCAATCTGTTATAAGCGCTCAAAAATCACATCTTCTCTAAAGTTCGCTGTAATCCAATCGTAAGTGAGCATCAGGTACTGAAATTGGCGCCGTGATCTTGAAGTCCCTCAAACACTTCTGATTGGCTCGTCCATAAATTAGAGTCTCGCCACTTACTATCAAGAAGAAGAATTAATTTGAATAAATTAGTCACTAGATATGTCTTGAACGCCAGATATCGGGTTGAGACCTTGGAATCTTGCAAATTAATCGATGAACAAACAGCCTCCAATCTTCTGACGTTTGCTGTTGCGATCAGATGTCAAAGAACTGATTTTATATTAATTTTCATTTCATTTAGCAATTTTAATTTCTTAACCAACTAAGCTTTACTAATTCTATTCTTACTTATTGCTAGGTTTTTCTTATTGAGCAATCTACTGAATTCTAATTCTTCGATTTCATTTTTGTAATACCAATATTGTTGAATATTGTTTGTTTTTTGCATGTTATGTACATTTGAAATTCTATTTAGTTGCTTAAATCTACCTAAATCTTTGTTACACTATGCGGATATATATATTAACACCGGAATTCAACAAAAGACATTGATCGAAATATTTTCAACTCATTTTGTATTAATGATTTTTAAATAAGACAGGTTGGAAACAACTGATAAGAGTCTAACGTAATAAGATCAGCTCACTTCTTTGTTCACATTACCTTTAGAATGATGAAAGTAAATACATATAAAACGTTTCTCAGTAAGTTGATTGAAATATCATAAATTTTGGTATCACAATTAGACAATGTTTTAGTACAGATAATGAAAAATGAGTTTCAGCTTTTAGTGAACTCCACTATTAATCAGTATAATATAAATCAATAAAAATCATTTCATGAACCGCAAAATTATTGCCATGCATTAAGAAAGTACATTTCAGAGCCACTTATTTACTCTCTTACTCCTGTACACTTAGTGGGTGAGCATAAGCTGTATACTTTACACTAAAATAACTAGAAAATACAATTTTCATTGTTTCTATTTTGTTTTAATTAGGCTTTAGAAGATCCTATTTGGAATCAATATTTCAAAATGATTACAATTAAAGCATTTGGTGATGAGATTGCATTATCACATTATGCATTTAGTTTTATTATTTATTATGCAACTGGATGTAATTTTCGTCAACGTGTACATCAATTATGCAAAAATGTATTATATAAATTAGGTTGTCGTTGTCATAAATTAATGAAACTTGGTATAAATGAAGAAAGTGATAATAATAATAATATACCATCAATTACTCGTCGTTCACATAATCGTTTATTAACTAATCATGATAGACAAGATGATCTGGATTTTACAATTCATACATCATCACAATATCGTCAATCAAAAAAATTGATTGATTATCAAAAATCAATTGAAATGGATCAATCTATAGAATCAAAGTAATACAAATTTATTTAAATCATCTAGTATATATCAAAAAGTAGATTTCAATGAATAAATCAATATTCTCAAGAGATAATGCCATGAAGGACATAAAAAGTGTTGAATATTTTAAATGTTCATGTTGTAATTCCTTGATGTTATACATCGAATATACTTGAAAAATAATCAGACTTCAAAGAGTAAACAAACAAACATCACAAACAAAACGTCTACAAGAAAGTTCAAGACAAAAGAAATCACTGTCAAACACAGTATAAACCATAAAACAATATCATAGTCTGATATGAATGTAAACAAATTGTTTACTATAATAAACGCAATATTAAAATACCATAGAAATGATTATTTTTTAAAAGAAAAAAAATGTTTTTTTTGTTGGTTCAACTCAAACTTCTTTCTATATTTTCTTTTTCCTCTTTTTTTTGTTGTTGGATACAAGATTAAAGCATTTTGAATTCTGGTACTAGTGTTTCTTCGCTCCTTGATTTCATTGACTGACAGTTGATATAGATGTAATCGGTTAAGATTAAAATGATCCATTAGCAATGAAACATTTAAACCAATTAGTCCCTTTTGATAAATTTCGATAATGTAATAAAAACATAAAAATGATCCGAACTATGTGACGATATATTAACCCAATCACATAGTTCTGATAATCTACATATTCTTATTACATGATCAAAATGAAATATTGATTTCCTTTCATTTTGATACATTTATTAAGTGCATTATATGTTCATGGTTTCATTCATGATTATTTCTAAAACATCTTTGTATATATGAACGTGTGTAAAACAAAATCACTACCACCACCACCAACAACAACAACAAGATAATAATAATAATAGCCATAGCAACTATTATTATTATTATGACTATTTGCATATATCTTGTCATTTATTAATGTATTTCTTATTTATTTTCTTTAATTAAATAATTAAATTTTGTGTTCATTCAATAGGTTTCAAATGTGAATAGTTTCATTGAATTCTATCCAACATTTTTAATATTGATACTTCAATTACATATTTTCTTTGTTGTTGTGTATTATCCTATTAAAAAAAAGAGATAAGAATTGATAAAATAAAATATGCATAAGATGAATATATCACAGATGGTAATAAATGACATAATGGTTAAGCATTTTAATGCATCAGGGTTTATTGTGTATGATATTGATATATCTACCAATATTCTGGTTAGTATGAAAGTACTTTATAAAGTTATTATTAGTTGAATGGTTCTTGAGACCGATGACGGAGATTTTAAAGACCGTTAAATGATTCGAAGAATTTCTATCCAATCAAAATCAAATTCAATGAATTATACTCTTATATTAAAGATTACTTTCTTTGAATCAGATTTGTGTAAATCAATTTGAGAGAAGAGTTAAAATCTTCCCTCACCTTTTTTTCCAGATATTTATGAATTACTTCAAATTGTTCAAGCCTAATCATTCATTCACTATAAATCGTCAACAAAAATTATTATTTTCAACTATTTTTCTTTTTAAGCAAAGATGAATAGTAGCTAGCAGTGGAATCCATGACGTGCGTTTCGTCCTATTTGGGACTTGTCAGCTGGATATACCTGCGTCTTAGAGTTGATATTCAATCTGGGACTCGAACAAAGTGCCATTCGCTTCCAACGCCATCAAGTTATCCACCTAACTACTGAGTGCTGATAGCTACCTGTTTGTGCAATGGGGTGAAGTTTAAATTCACTTGGTGTTGTTTTACTTTTACTTGTTTACTCATAATTGAAAAATATGAAAGAGATTGAAATCAGTGTAGTAAGATTTTAAAGTAATAGCCATAGTAATATTTTTAACCAATGAGCCTAAAAAATATAGAATGATTTATGTTAATTATAGTCAAATCAAAATGGAATATGTGCAGAATATAATGATAAACGATATATGAATGTGATTTGTTTAATGAAGGTAATAATAATAAATGATTAGTTTCTGTGTTATATAATTTGATTTCATATCATTTCTAGTTTGTTCGATAGGAAAATTATTGAGATAGGTGCGAGACTATAGTTTTTGAATGAATCAATCAGGTATAAGAGAACAGGTTTCGGATATTATCGGGAAATTCACTCATTGATTTGGCGAAATGGAGTTTCAGCATTATAGTTGATGTTAGTTCGTGATGAAAACCCTAAACTTAATTCCTAATCTTAACTATCAACTGCAAATCAGAATTCCAAGTCCTCATACAGGTATATAATACTCATTTGATCCTATCATCGTCAGTCCAGCGTCGCTCGAATGTCGTCCATAAATTATAGTCTCAGCGTAATATGTTAGAAATTACTAGTGAATATATAAAAAAGACACGAGTTTGTAAATTGAAGTAGCAAGATTTTACACCTGTCTACATGATCTATTTGTCTACCAATGTGACATGTGATATTTATACAGTGCTGTTGTCTTCTTAAAGAAGACAAGTTAAATATTAGGGTTTCTTCCTTTGATTATTAAAGCTGGTAATCCCTGTATGAGAATAACATTATGCTTCGAGGAACGATTTAGAGGGAGAGGTTTCTTTCTATAATCACTCTTCAGTTGTTTTATACCATTAGATCATATTGTTACCTACGTACTTATTTACGCATCGTCGATGAGCATGTGTCACCCACAAGCATTCTTCACCCAACTATATTCTGCGCAATTCTTTCCAGTCGCTATTGATTTTTTTCATGTCTGTTTCCAAACCTCGGCGCGGTATGTACTTTGACCTTCCACTTTATTGATTCCCTTCAGGATTCCAAGTAAGCACGTACTTCGTGATGCAGTTTGATGATTTGCGTAATGTATGTCCTATCCATTTCCAATATCTTTTCCTAATTTCTTCCTCATCTGGAAGCTGATTTGTTCTCCTCCACAATAGGCTGTTGCTGATGGTATCCGGTCAATGTATATTGGGTATCTTGTGAAGAAAGCCACTTATAAATACTTGTACCTTCTTGATGATTGTTATTTCAGTCCTCCAAGTTTCAGCTCCGTCCAGAAGAACTAACTGTCTTGACATTCGTATTGAAGATTCTCACTTTGATATTGATTGTCAGTTAGATTATACTATTGGACAGAAAATATTTTTTTCTATTAAAGTATTGGTGAAGTGTTCTTATAATTATTCTGTAATTCTTTTGATGAATTTAGTTATAAAAAAAAACAATCGGAAGCTAAGAAATATTCATGTTGTATTTATTTTTAAATGAAGCTTCAACACTTAGGACAAAACATTTTTAAATTAGGAAACTTTAGTAACAAAACTTTTTCGATGGCCTTTGTTAAATTAAATCCTGTCCAAATGTCAACTTAAAAAGTCCGTCAGTCAGTAACAACGTAGAACTTCGTACGTACGTACATCAGTTCGATTTTCCACACCACATTAGCACAGAGATGCAGTTGTCGATTCAAATCCCGTAGTGGTAGAGATAGTAAACGTATAAATAATAATCGGAAAGATTTGGGTTTGAGGATGTTATTGAAGGAGTAAAATCCAGTGAAATAAATTTGAAAAGGGAAAAAAGAGACAAGGAAGATTCAATAGATTAGTATTTGGGAGAACACGAAAAGTAAATGCACCTACGCCATTGCAAACAACTTTGAGCCATGTCATTCAGGGTCTCTAACCATCGGTTACTATCAACTCGTGGTCCCCAACCAGGTAGTCTACACCTACCAACATGACTCAGTCCACTTGTCAGTGACTTCATTAACTTGTGCCATGTTTTGGTCTAACCGCCCCTAGCTTTCTTCCAACCTACTCCTACATCACTGAGAATCTCACATCGAGGCAGTCGATGGTTGGGCATACGTAACAAGTATCTCAGCCATCTCAATTAATGGAATTTCACTAATTCATCAATTGATTTGCCATCCTTACCTAGTACCCGGTCCCTAACAACTGAGTTACTTACTCGATAGTCCCAGGATATACGAGCAATGTTTCGAAGACACCTATGATCAAATACTAGCGACCTACGAATATCCTATACTCTTACCGTCCATGTTTCACTGCCATAAAGTAAGACGGAACGAACTGCTGTGCAGTAAACACGTCCTTTGTTTGATATACGGATATCTCGCCTACGTCATAAATGATGCAAGTTGGTGAAAGCTAGTCGAGCCTTCTGTATCCGTGCTAAGATTGTGTCACATACCAGACCACAAGGGCTGATGAAACTTCCAAGATAAGTGAAGCGGTTGACACGCTCAACTACTTCACTCCCTATTATTAGTTCGGGTGTCGATGCAACCCAATCCTGAAGCAACATTTTGCATTTCGACGGAGAGAATCGCATCCTGAACATGCTTGCATTGTTGCTTAGAGTACATAGCTAGTTAAAACCAAATTAGTTTATTACACTTTTCACATATGTATTTGGTATAAATGAATATGAAAATACAATCTATGTGACTAATTCAATCGACTACTATTCGATATTTAAGAAGAAAACAGGCAATTCGGTTGAAAAAAAGATCTTTTCAGCGATATCATTTAATTAAACTATACAATAGTATTTATAGTTAGTTCCTTGGTAAGATAGAAAGGCGCTAATTTAAAAAAAAATCCTTAAAGTTGTATGTTGTCAAGAGGTGAATATCAGTTGCTGAAAAGAAGCTATGCAACAATTGGTTAGTTGACAAGTGCTTAGATGAAAATAACTGTTTACTTGATAGCTTTAAACAACAGAACAATCTGAGACTTAATAATTTGGAATCTAAACTATAATATTATACCCTGAATTGTATAGTGGATCAAAAATAAATAAAAGCTGTCTAGAAACTGTGAATAATATCGATGACAAAGCGATTATAATAAAGTTTCTTCATTTTATCGCAATTCATTGACTTTAGTCTCTATCATCAATCACTTTTTAGAATATCAATATTATTGATCAATGTAATTAAGGACTTTTTAGTTCCCACTTGAGAAATTATGATTTCATGTATATAATCTCTGGGTATAAATAAACAATTTTCTTGAAATATTACAAACTGTATGCCGTTTTACAGGGATAATCCGGCTGGTACCGATAGCAATGTTGTGTAAAAGAAAAATTCATAATTTAAATTGTTTGAACTAATATAGCTCATAGGTTATTTTGGAAGTAGATTTACTAAATGGACTACAACAGTGTGAGGCATGTGTGTACGGACTGAGGCATGCTATTGTTGCATGAATAATCCATCCAAGGTCATTTCCAGTTACATAACAGAGTGATTTCATTCATCTTTAACTCGAAAAAAATAGTTGAAACAGAGAAGACAGAACTGAAGCAATAAGAATTACTGTGATAGCTTATCCAATATATAAGTTATTTTACAATCTACTGATTTGGATAGATATTACTCAGATTATTTAAAATGAACAAGAACAGTATAAATGTAAGATATCTTCAGAAAGGGAAGTTTAATGAGTTGGCTCTGTAATAACAACGATTAAACATTTAAAATCTCTATCATTTCAATTGTGAAATGGGATATACTGAAAGGTGCACAGCAGTTTCAGGGATGAGGTATACATCACTCTGAATTTAATTTCACGGACAGATTGTAGGAACGTATTCAAGAGTTTCGAAAATTTACGATCAAAGTAATTCACTAAATGAGAGGTTTTAGCTTGTAAAGAGTTACGGATGCTATAAATAAATGTTTCTGTAAATTGCATTGCAGTAAGGTATGTAGAAGATATCATGATTATGATTTCGAAAAGAGAATGATGAGGTTTATTTTCTTTTATAAATAATCCATCAGTAAACAATTAACTGTACGACACAAATTGTTCTTCGGTTAGATACTATACTGGAAATGTTCAAGACGCTATTCGTCTTTAATAAGATTATAAAGGCTCTATTTGTTAGTACA